ATGCTGGGTGATTCTCGGTGTCGGTTTTTTTTGTTGACGCGTCAAGCATTGTTGACAGCAAAGCGTCTCGCGAAGTGTAGTTATCCTTTCAGAAGAGGGTTTCCAAAAAGTTTTCACAAAATTGCAAAATTCCAAAAAATTTAGGGATACTTCGTATATGGTGATACGTGGAAAGTACCCAGGGAAACTGCAGGAAAAATGCCAGGAAAATCAAGTCCTTCCGAAGCTGCAAACTTTTGAACTTTTATTTTCAAACATAAACTGAATGCAGGCGTGATGCACGCACCGTTTAACTGTAGAATTGCTGAACATCAAACTGTTAAGATCGTATTGGCTCTGTCTTGTGCTATCGTTGCTGTTCATTTTTTTCTCCACACTGGGTATTTCATAGGTACCCCGTAAAGTTATTACCTATTTCTTTCAGGAGCGAGCTCCTGAACCTACTATCCCTACACCAGCTGCCAACCAGGAAAAAGCTGCTGGTTGTCCAAATCTCCCAACTGTTAAGGTCACGAATTATGGTGAGTTCAAAGGGATTTACGGTGCTAACGTAGTTGAGCGCGGTCATGCGGAACGCCTTTGCGTTCTGTTTTTTTTTTTTTCACATCTACATTATCTTTTCATAGGATGGGATGAATCCGACAAATTCGTCAAGGTGTATATTACCCTGCAAGGAGTCCAGAACGCCAATCCTTCTACCATTCAACATAGTTTCACAAACACGTATGTTATAAGCGAGATTGTCGCTTTTCTGTATGGCAGGGGTTTGAACCCATGTTGATATGTTTTCAGTGGGTATGATATAACAGTTTCTAATCATTGTGGCAAGAACTATGTGATGACGATGAAGGGACTACGTGACGAAATCGTGCCTGAAAGCAGTCAAATTAAGGTTGGTGATGTATATTTTTGACGCTTTTTCTACGTTGCCAGGTTTTTCGGCTTTTTGCTTGAATATTAATACTGGATTCTACATGATTCTTCATCTTATTTTCTTATCTTTATCTTTCTTTGAGTGTCGGGATTTTTGCAGTTGTTGTGAGGACGTCAACGGTCCGACATGTGAACGCATTTTTGCCTCTGTAGCGCAATCAGATATTACAACACGCTGACCCATGGTCCCTGTGAATTTGAACTTGAGATCAGTCCCACCTGCTGAAGAGCGCGCAATTTCTTTCCACTTTTGTGGGTTCTGCACAGTTACTCCTTACCCATATCAATTGACAGCATCGGATGGGATAGTGGTCATAAGGGAGTAGGGTTAATCGCTTTCTCGCTTTCATGTTGGTAGATGGACAAGACAATCGTAATCTGTCGCATCGTCGCACGCGGCGGTGGCGGCAAATTCTCGATATGTACCAGTTTGTTGATTGGAGCAATGAAAATCTTATGAATTCCAGCGTACACAGGACTCCATGACGGGTGATATCGAATTTTCCCGTTTCTTTGATAATCGTATTCAGACGGCCATGTGGGACAACTCGTCTGTCTGGCCGTCTGGATTTGGTCTGACGTCTGACGCCGCGTGGGTGGGGCGATGTCGCTCGCTCCGCCCACACGATGGCGTGTTGCGATTGTCTTGTCACCTCTATGTCACCAAAGTCACTTATATCCAGTTTTACTATACCACTTCGCATAAATAGGACTTATAAAGATGAAGAAAACCCGCTTAATACTGGAGTTCAAAAAGAGTCATTTTTAAAGTTCAAATGCAGCTTCGGAGACAAGTGATATGAACAAAGGCAGCTGTTCTTTTAGCAAAAAACTGACATGCTCTTGGTTATGATGAAGAAGAGGAATGAAGGGAAGAAATGGGAACAACTAACGAAGTTGGAATACGATCAGAAGCAGAAAAGGTGGGGAATGGAGTTGTTGAATACTATCTCTTCAAAAATTCCTAACTTCAATTACATTTCATTTCAAGAAGTTTTGGATTTTTGGAATTGGGTTATATTGACCTGCATATTCTTCCAGGAAACCGAAATTTGATGACAAGGATGATGATCCGCAAGCGTCATTAATGAGCATGATGAAGCAGATGTATGATGAAGGTGATGATGAAATGAAGCGTACGATAAGAAAAGCATGGCATGAGGGACAGAACAAGAAGAACTCTATTGATCCTCCATCATTCGGTGATCTTTGAGAAATTTTGTACTTTTTTAAACTAAGCATTCTATTAAATTGTTGTTGTTGCTTGCCTGAGAAGAAAAATATTTCGTTTTGTAGTGCACAAAGGATAAAACAAATTTATAATTAGGGTGATCAAGTGGAGAGAGTTTTGTTGCTACAAAAAAATGTTTCGTTGTTTAGTTCTATGCGGATGGAAACCATTGAACAATGGGATAGTCATAGCGATCTAAACTGTGAGGCGGCATTCATACTTTGCGGCAGCGACCACTAGTGTGCGGCAGCGCTTCGAGCGAACACCGGCACCAGAGATTAAGAAAGTATAGATATCGCTATAGCTTATGCCAGCATTTACCAGCGTATGGCAGCGTCTCGAGAGACTAGGGCAATGGACGTTGGTAGACGCTGGATCGGAATCGACTTTCCTAGTAGCTGGCGTTGGCTTCGCTCAGAATGCCGCCGTACGCTGATGTAGGCTGTCGCAAAGTATGAACGCAGCCTTAAATACACTCGTATTAAGGCCTTCCAAAAGTTACGCACCTGTGTGGTGTGTGATGCAAACGAAGGATCGAAACGCGGATTCTCCGAACAGTTTCAAGATAGGCC